TACTGTTTTAGAACTACTTGTAGTCGTTTTAATTTTAGTCGTCTTCGGAATCTTAGTTGTTGTAATTTCAGTTTCACCACTACCTGTGACACCTTGTGTAGTAGTTTTCAATGGCTAAAAATGATTAATTTTTAAATCTGAAAATTTAATACGGAGCAAAATTAATGTGAAAATTTAGTAAGCAAAATCAATAAACGAATGTTTTGAGTGGAAATATATAATTGTAATTTATAATTGTTTCGGTTCGTCCTGATTGATTTTTTCAGGATATTGGGACAGAATGAAAATCTAAAAAATTGGCAATTCCATTTGCAATAATATATGATATATAGTATTCTGCTATGAATTTTACAATATCATACAAATTAAATTTCAATTTTCTAAGTTCCGGTCTAGATAAACGATACTTTCTGACATGCAACAAATCATAATGAAATGGTAATAAATTCTTCACCGTAGGTATGGAGCCACTTCCAAGCTCACTATTGATAGCATTCATTAACGGATATGGACCTTTGCCACAACTTGTACCCTTGAAATCATCGTAATCAAGAGTCCATATAAAAGCACCGCCATAACCTTTTTTTTTGAGCCATTTCATCTGCAAATTTTCATAATGAAAAACATTAATTCTATTTTATCCATTCTCTTAAATGTTCAACTTAACGTGAATTCGATTATTAAAACAAAACAAATATGCAAGCAATTAATTCCCACTCTTTATTATTTGGATCAACTTCTTACTTCTTAAGTTGTTCCTTTCTACTAACAGCAACAACAAGCAAAATAAAAATTACTTTAATTTTGATAGTTTCCACATTATCATAACCGTGCCACTGATTTCCTTTTACCATATACGCTCCAACACTTTTTTTATCGACTATTTCTTTGCCACCTTCTTTCAAATATTTGCATATCTTAAAATAATTTTTTAGTGGTTGAAGGTAGAGTTTGAAGGACTAACAACGATACTATTTGAAAATATCTTAATACTTTAAATTAAACCTCCCAATAAGCTGCAGTACCGCCAGCGGGATTTGTCATCGATGGTGACGATGGATGATTACCTCCTGCCCCAATTGCTGTTTCTGAAGGATTGTCTAATGTCCATCCCCGGCTATAAGTCGGGATCCCAATGATAATTTTCTGCTTCGGCATACCCTTACTTGCCCAATAATTTGCTGCAAATTCCTGAAAGAATATAGAATTCAAATATAGAATTCATCTTCATGCAAAAGACAAAAAATTACAAATTGTTATGCATTTTAGGAACTAACGGTATTCAAGTCGTCAGTTCCGGAATTTTCTCCACCTGTTGGATATAATTTCCCGTGCAAGTTGACATTCTTCTCCCAAGTGCCATGTAAATCATACGACATCAGAAATAGAAGATCGAAACTTCTGCAAATTTTTAGTATAACAAAAACAATGGCAAACAGAGAAAGGAAAGGGAAGAGTCTTACTTTCCAAGTGACTGAATATTGTAGCTTTGATCAATAGTCGCTTTCCCGGCTGCTACAGCGGCAGTAAGAAGCAATCGTTGCTTGCCAGATTTCTTGGCTTCTTCCACAAATGCTGCTTTCATTTCCTAAAAATTTCAGGTAGGATGCAATATACTTCAATTTTGTTTTCGAGCCCAAAATCGCTCTTGAATCACTACTGAAGCAAAAATTGTAGAAAATACTTGGAGTACTGAAAAGTAATTTAGAATGTGAATTAAAATTTCTGTAGCATTTGGAATGTGAAATAAAATCTGATAATATATGTGTTATGGCTAAAAAATTGATACAGATTTCAGGTAAATAAAATATTAAACTTTTATTGGAGATGGAATTACACTTACCGCAACAAGTTTGGCATGTTCCTCGGCCACATCGGTTGGATATTCCCAGTCAAAATCGAATCCATCAAATTTATGCTTGCGGAGAAACTCTATAGCTGATTGAATGAAATATTTCCGTTTATCCTCCGATCTTGCTATTGACTTAAAATATTTGGTGTTACACTTCGTATATTATTTTCGTATTATACTTCGTATATTTGTCAAATTTACAGCTGATACTTCAACAAGAAAAAGATGAGACGTAAAATCGGCAAATATCACAGATGACATTGCATCACGTTAGTTATGTACTAATGAGAATCACCGTCAATATGTCTAGCAAGCATCAACTTTAAAATAACGAACAGTGAAGATTGCTGATCCGAAATTGTAACCGCCATAGGAAAGAAGGATTTTCAGTGCTGGATCGTTCATTTTCAGCTTCATCACACGTGAGTACATCCCTTGTGACCATTCGCTATCTTCATCATTCCATTCAAATGGTCTGAGATTAAAAGTTATTGAAATAGAATATTTTAGAGAAGTAAATAATATTTACTGTTTGCCTTCTCCTTTAAGCGCCGCATTAACGTCATGGAAATGC